GTCAACACTTCCTAGGACAAATTTTTGGTTTTTTTCTTTAAGTAAACTGAATAAATGTGAAGGGAGACTCCACTTCCCACATGCTGGCACAGCTTCAAAATTTACCACCTACACTTGTCATTTTTACCCTTTAATAACCTACTCAAATGAAACTATTTAAAAAGCAAAAGCCCACAATAAAGGAAGTTAACTTAAAGAGAGCCATAAAATAGTTAACAGTGGGTCTAAAACCCCAAGGAGCTCTGTTTTATCTGAAAGGGGAAGCCAATTCACCACTGCTGTTCCTAGTGCAGCTATAAAAAAAAAAACACCACAAAGTGGAAGGCTTTAAAAGAAGAGAACTTTATTATCCCACAGATCTGGAGGCTGAATGTGGTTGATTCCTTCTGAGGACTCCAATACACAACTGTTCCATGTCTCATCACCTAACTTCTGGTGGCTGGCTCCTAGCAACCCCCAACACGTTGTAAAGTGGTCTCTCTAGTCATATGGCCACCATTCTCCCCTCTAACCCTCTGGTTCTCCTCTTTTGAAAAACACCACTTGGATGGGATTAGTTGTTGTTGTTAAGTGCCATCGAGTCAGTTCTGACCCATAGCGACCCTGGATAGGGTTTCCGAGGAGCAGCTGGTGAGCTTAAAGAGCCAACCTTGCAGTGCAAATGGCTTTGCAGTCTGGCGCATTAACCCACAGCACAGCGCCACACCAGGACTCAGGATGGGATTAGTAACTGACCCCAAATCCAAACCCAATGCTGAGTGGATTTCAATTCATAGTGACCCCACAAGATAGAGAAGAACTGAACCCAAAGGGTTTCCAAGGCTGTAAATCTTTACAGAAAGCAGACAGCCTCATCTGTCTCTCACCATGTGCCTGATGGGTTAGAACTGCCAAGCTTCCAGTTAATGGCCCAATGCTTAACCCACTGTGCCACTGGGGCTCCTTCCTAAAAGACTCTATCCCTAAACCAGGTCACATTCACAAGTACAGGGATTCGACCTCCATTTATCTTTATGTAAGAGCACAATTCATCTATGACAACCAGTTAGTACCTTCTTAAATAAGGGGGTGGTGCAAGTATCCGCCTGCAAGGGTTGTGGTGAGGACAAAGGGAGCAGAGAGCTGAACCTAGAGGCCTGCCACACACGAGGTTCCCCTTAGTAAAGTAAGTGTCAGCCATCACTATGCTTTATGAAATTAGATTGGTTGCAATCTAATGACAGTGGATTTCTGGTGTGGCGCTGTAGGATAAGCACTGGACTGCTAGCCACATGGTTAGAGGTTCAAACCCACCAGTTCTTCCTTGGAAACCCTATACAGAGTGGCTATGAGTTGGAACTGACTCACCAACACTTATAACAACGAAGACAACTATAAAGCTTCCATTCATAATAGCTTCAGCTTGATCTGCTCAAGATTTCCAGTGCTCATGTGAGATCAAGTAACAGAGAACACAGACACGTTTCTGACTTCACAGTTCCTCATGGGGCCGTGAGTCCCAGAGTCTCACTGCACACCGGTCCACTTGTGTAGCCTGATCCTGGCTACAGAGCCCCTGCACCCTCCCACACTCAATCCCTGGAAAGCTTCTACGGCAGACCGAGAGGGAAGAACAAGGCGTTAAGGGCAGGAGGACACAAGGGCCCTCCACCAGTAACTGCCCCAGTCAGGAGGGGGTGCTTTGACAAACCGGCTATGTGTCTGAATGACACTCACTCTAGTATTTGCAAGCCATACATTTTCTTTTTCAAATTTTTATTGTGAATTGGGTGAAAGTTTACAGAGAAGATCATCAGTTTTACATTCAACAAGTCATACACATTTTGTTTCATCTCACTGACTGCAATTCCCTCTGAGTAACATCATTTATCTCACTTCTTCCCTGTGCTTCTTCCTTCTCCCCCTTCTTCTTTGCTAACCCTTTTGAACCTTGTCCTTGGGTTAACACTGCCCTTTGGATTTTGACTGGTTGATTATCCTAAGGTGTGTGTCCCCTACTACTATTATTGTACCCCTTACAGACCTGAAAATTGAGCCATTTGAACTGCAACTGAAAATTGACGTCAGTTCCAGACATCTCGGGGGTTCCACCAGTTCCTCTCCTACCAGTAAGTCTGGTCTGTGTTAGGATTTTGAGTTTTGTTCCACATTTTTCTCCCACTCTATCGGGGACTTTCTAATGTGATCCCTTTCAGAGCAGCTGGTAGTGGCTGTTGGGCAAAACCTAGTTCTCCTGACCTCACAGTCGTGGAGAGTAATGTTCACATGCTCTACTAGTCCCCTGGACTAATCGTTGCTATGTAGCTTGGGTTTTCGTCACTTTTCTTGTCTCCAGACAGGGAGAGACCAATAGTTACACATTAGATGGCTGCTCATGAACGTTTAAGATGCCGGTCGCTACTCACCAAAGTAGGATGTTTCTTTCACAAGAGCAAATCATTATTACTTTAAATTCACTATGAAAACTTGCCATTGAAAGGGGCACCGCACCATGGGGAGTCCTGGTGTGGCGCTGTAGGATAAGCACTGGGCTGCAAGGTGGGCTTGAACCACAAGGTCGGCAGTTCAAACTTAAGAGCAGCTTCTCGAAAAGTCTATACAGGGTCGCTATGAGTCGGAATTGACTTGATGGCGCAACACTGGGAAGGCTCTATGTAGCTGGCATCAGTGTTCCGAAGCACCTGCAAAGCATCTCTGGTTAATTCTTCAATAGAATTACTCCTTTTAGAAAATTATCAATTAAGTTTTTAAGGGCATAATCTTTTTGAAAAGAATATTTTCTGGCATCCTAAAATAGTTTGAGGTGGGTAAAAACGTTAACACATGATACATTAATGAGCGCGCTGTCTAAGGAGTCAATTCCAACTCACAGCGACCCTGCAGGGCAGAGAAGAACTGTGCCCCCATGGGGTTGCCAACGCTGTAATCTTTTTGGAAGCAGAATGTCACGTCTTTCTCTTGTGGAGCAGCTGGTGGGGTCCAACCACCAACCTTTGGTTAGCAACCAAGCACTTTAACTACTGTGCTACCAGGGCGCCATCATGAGACACTGTTGCTGAGTATTGACGAGCTGGTTCCAAATCACAGCAACCTTGTATAGGGAGGGTTTCTGAGGACTGGCTGGTGGATCTAAACCTCCAACCTTGTGGTTAGTAGTTCAAAGCTCGTCCTACAGTCCAGTTCTACTCCTGGGACTGCCGTGAGTAAGTACTGGCTCAACCACTACTTAGCCCCACACAAGACTGATCCTATAAATGGAGTGCAGGTCCTATCACCTCTATGTTATGAGGTGAGAAGAAATGGATGGTGCCCTAGCTATAATTACGTCGTGTTTGATCACGTAGATAAGCTCTTGATCAAAAGGAGAAAAACCATGGAACAGAACTTCTATTTCATACAGGAACCAGACTTACTGGATCCATTGAGAGTCAGGGAACTCTGAAAACTAAAGCTTAGAAAGAATCTTTAAATCTAGAACCCAAACTATCTACCCCATGAAGTCACTGTTAAACAGGAGTTTAGCTCAATTAATAAAAAATATTTGCCTTGAGCATTGCACTCTTACAAATATCCATGCTGTTGTTTAAATGCTATCGAGTCAGTTCAGACTCACAGCGACCCTGTACAGGGTTTCTGAGGAGCGGCTGGTGGCTTCATCCCACAGGGCCACACCAGGACTCCATAGGAGGTGAAATTGACACCAGTTCATTTAAAGCACAGAAGAGAACATTCAGGGCCAAAGAGTCTACATTCATAATGATAAAAGCATATGGGTAGAGATGCTGAGACTGGTGATCTAATGTGAGGTACATAACCAATGTTAAGTATGTAACCAGTGTTATTGAACTGTACATGCAGAAATTGTAAATGGATGTATGTCTGGAGTGTGTCACCACCAAAATCAAACAGATGTTTAAGACAAACAAAAAGACTTGTTCCTGTAAGTCACTTTTCCAGAGCAAATCTCATAGGTTCTACACTTATTTTCATTTACACTTCTGTCCACACCTGGACTCACGGAGGGAGATCAGTTCTCATTAATGAAGATTTCAGCAATTAGCACAAGTTCCAGAAAAATCTGACCTTCACTACACGATGGCTGGACAGATGACTCAATGAACCTGAAGACACTTCAAATATCCACTCACATACCCATGTTCATGGGTCACCTTAATCTCTCATGCAACGCTTCATATTTCTTGAAACCTCAAACACTGGAACGAGGCAAGAGGAGCATGCGCTTCTCAGGAATGTACTGAGTGTGGGCCCAGGCAACTCTTAGGTAACAGCATATAGACAGGACAGAAACCAGACGGATCATCAACTGACACACTCTGATCAGTTAGAGGAAGTGAGAGGAAATGTCAGCCCCCCAGCAAGCGAGACAAGCCAGAGCAAAGAGATTAGCAAGCCTCCATCACGGGGTGGGGATCCGAGTGAGAGGGCCAAGCACACTGAGTAATGAGAAAAAGTAAAAAGAAAGAGGGAAGGAGAGAAAAAAGGGGAAAGGGAGGGAAAAAGACACCCTGTCTAACTCTACTCTTCACCATTTTAAAAATTCCTTGCGGGGTTATACATACATATATATATATACATACACATTTACAATAATTTTGAAAGAGAGAGGCAGAAAACGAATAAACTAACAAGAACAAAAATTTCTTGCTGGTCCAAGACACCAAGCTAGGCTCTACGAAACCAGGATAAAGGCACAGGGCTCAAGGAAATCACAGCATTGTAGAGGGGTCCTTGGAGATCCTGCTCAGTGGGGAAACCGGGAGGACGTGCTCCCAATCCAGCCCGCTGCTCCTGGTTCCCCACTAACACATGGCTCGTCTGAGGTCCCTCCACTCTGACCATCAATGGTTCAGTACCAAAATTTCCCTACCACATAGCCACCAACCATCTGCCAAACACAGAGGAACTTCTGTGGTCTTTTCTCCCTTCCGGCCACACCACAAGGAAAACAAACAGCAGACGTGTTCAGCAAATGCACTCACCGCATGAGTTTGCTGGAACGAGTTTGCTCTGGCAGAGTCCCTGCAGAGCCTGGGCCCGTGCGGGCTGCCCAAACTGAAAGACCAGGGCCATGTGCAGAAGTGAGCTCCTGTCGCAATTCAGAGAGAAAGGAAGCCTACATGGCAGCCTGGGCCGGCAGGGCCCAGGCACAGCCACCCTGCCCTGCCTGCCTCAGCAGTTTTCTGAGTCTGCCTGTTGGGGCAAATCCTAAGACTGAGCTGCCTTGGAATCACAATGGGTTACGTAACTCCAAGTGGCCTGGGCACCCTATAGGCTCATCTTGTTAAACCGCCTAGAGAGAAAATGACGCACCCAAAAATGTGATACCCCTACACTGGGGAGCAGTGGGGAGGGAGAAGGGCAAAGAGAGGGTTTTGTAACGGGTGTTTGGTTTTGTCTAAAAACTGAAGCAGAACAAAAAGTATGCTGTTGCTCTTGGTGCTCACTGGGAACTGGGGGTGGAATACATTTGCCAGAGGCGGTGTGCCAAGTTGTCTCTGGGACTGCACTCTTCAAAGCCCCCAATGCATTCCCCAGGATGCCCTTGGAGTTCCCTCCCAGCACTTCTTCCACTTTGCGTCTTCCTCTCAGTGACCATCTAAGATCTCTGCCTACACATGTTCTGCGTCCACTGGCTGCACACATCTCAAACCCTTAACAGAGCCTGTGTTTACGTTCCTGTTTCCTAAGACGCTGCCAAAGTGCAGCATGGAGTTCTGTCTCTCTGCTGTGTTCTGGTGTCTGCTACAAATGTCCCAGCAAAGAAACATGGTTACCACATTCTATGGGATCTGATGCACCGGCGCTGCGTGCTTCTGCCATTCCTTTGCCCTTGGTTGTCACGTTCAGAGAAAGTGAAAATACCTCAACAGGCGGGATGCTTCCTGGATTTCACTGACACACACACGAGCTACGCTCCAGAGGTTCCTTCACACGTGGAAAATGAAGATGCAGTTGGACACAACCTCCTCCTGTGAAGCCCCTCCTCCAATCCTCTCACACTGTCCTCCCACCTGGTGTCTGTCCTTGTCTCCACCCTCCTGGGTGTCTGTCCTTGTCACCGTGCTAACCATGGTGTGCGACCATTTTCCATTCGTTCTCCCAGCTCCTCCCTGGACACTTAGAGCTCAGTGGCCTTAGCAGAGATGCAGACCCTTTAGTGACTTGGCTGCTTCCCCTGTAAAAAGGAGCCAACAGTACTGTCTTCACATCCCCAGAGACGAGAATGTGACAAGAAAGAAATGACACAATTTATTCATCCAACCAACACTACTGAGCACTGACCCCTGCAGGTGTTATTTTTGTCACTGGGACTCAAGGGCACACAAAACAGTCAAATCCTTGTCCTCTAGGCGTTTATATTCTTTCTACTGCAAGTATGACAAAATGCAAACACATAGTAGCTCAGAGGCTGTGAGTCTGTGAAGAAAAATAAAACCAGGAAAGAGAGAGGGGAAAGGTGGCCAGGGGAACATCCTCTACATGGGTGGTCAAGTCACAAAGGTCCAGAACGAAGTGCGTGGGTATACCTGGGAGAAAAGTGAGCCCAGTGTGGAGCACAAGGAACCACAACCCTGAGGCTGGAAGCTCCTAGAGGGTTTGAGGATGAGCAAGGAGACTAGTGGATGGAAGGGAGGAGAGGCAGGAGATAGGCCAGTGAGACAGAGAGGCCCATCATGTAGACCCTCATGGGCCACCGTAAAATAGGAGTCCGCTGGAGGTTTAGAGCAGAGGAATAAAGCAATCTGACTTTGTATTTAAAGTCACCTTCATCAAATCGACGACAACTCAAAAGGTCAGATGGGAAGCTTAGGTGGCAGTGAGATTATGTTAATGGATGAGGAAAAATTCAGAAAAAGAGGGTCAGAATGGTTGTACAAGTCAAGACCATAATCAGCAGCACTGAATTGTATGTGTCTGCTGCGTATAGTTTCAACAACAAAAAGAAGTTCTCTCTAAAAAAAGTTACGTCACAGCTGGGTGGAGACTGGACGGCATAGGAGCAAGACGGCCCAGCTAGGAGGCCAGTGCAGTGACCCAGACATGAGACAAAGGTGGCTCAGAGCCAGGTAGTTTACTGGGGCATTCAGGAGAAACACGCAGGTTCTAGACACACTGTAAGTAGAGCCACAGATTTCCTGGAAAACTGAGGTCTGAAAGAGACAGAAGTCATTAATGTTGTCAAGGTTTTTGGTCTGGGCCCGTGGAAGGAAGTATCACTTACAAAGACGGTAACAAGAGCAGTTGTTGTTAAGTGTCTTTGAGAAAAGCAGATGGCAGTAGAAATGAGGTGTTTAGTTTGGGGCCTGGGAGTGTGGGTGCCTCTTAGGCATCCACTGGGAAATCAGACCTATGGGAGAAAGATCCAGGGCAAGGACAGAAAGTTGAAGATGGTCGCTATCAGTGAAGAAGGCTTTAAAACCCGAATCCTACACTAGCCTCTCCAGGGCTGGGTGTGAAGGCGCTGGGAACTCAAAGGGAGGACTGGGACCTGGGTTTGAGTCCCAGCCTGTATGACTCCTGCACAGACACCACTCTCCTGTCCGTGGAGAGGCTTGCTTGTTTGCTGTGATGCTGAACAAATTTCAGAGGAGCTTTTACACTAAGACAGACTAGGAAGAAAGGCCTGGCAGACCCTTCCTGAAAGTCCACCAGTGAAAACCCGACGGATCACAGTGGTCACTCTATAATCGATGACACGCAGAACTGCTTACATTCCGCACTGTTGTGCATGGGTTCCCCATGAGTCTGGGGCTGACTCATGGGGCAGCTAGTAACAACAGGGGTATAGGGAAGCGAATAACCTGAAGTGCTGAGTCAGGGACCTCCAACATGCCCAGGCTGGGGCGAGAAGAAAGAGAAGCCAGGGAGGCAGGGGGACCAGGAAAGTGTGGGGTTCCAGAAGCCAGGTGAGGACTGTGTTTCTAGTAGCCAAAGGGAGAAAGCTGTGGCAGGCTGCTGGCACAAAGATCTACAGCTTTGGAAACGCTATGGGGCAGCTCTACTCTGTCCCATAGAGTCACTGAGTCCCAATCAACTCAATGGTAACAGGTTTTGCTTGGTTTTGGCACTACCGGCTAATGCTACACATGCCATCCTAACCATTTTCAGTCAAAGTCTTCTTGTGGACAAGTTCCAAGCATTTGTGAGAAAGGAAAAAGAAAAAGCTTTATTACAAGGTACCTCAATGGCTAGGAGGTGATGATCCAGTTCCTGAGACACTGAGAGGCATGAATGACACAGACACTCATAACAACTGAAGTCTGTGTTGTTCTTGATGGTTTATAAGCCACAGCACATGTGATGTCTGCATCCTATAATGCTACCAGGTGTCTTTTCCATTATTCCAACCATGAGTCAGAAGAAACTGAGCCTCGGAGATGAGGGGAGGGCACCAGACTCTATTGTGCATCCACTCTGTACCACACATGCTGCTTGAGGTTCTATGGGTTAACCTTCGTCACCCACTTTACAGGTCAGAAAACTGAGACTCAGACAGATCAGTGTCTTCTATAAGTCACAGAGCTGGTTCTGGAAGTCAGGTGTCACAATCCCACTTTGCACTCTGGTTCCCACCACTGCCCTCCTCCCCATCACCTCCTCTAGCCCCCACTCCTGTGGCTGCATCCTTCCCTAGTCTTCACTGACTGAAGCATCTCCCTTCTGTCCCGTCCCCCCACAACCATCACCTCCCCAGGCGTCAAAGAGCCCCCTTACCGGTAATGGTGCAGGCATCCCGGTACCCTCTGTAGCTGGGAGCATCTTCCACAGCCTCGCTTACATAGTGTTCCTCAGGGATGCCCGGGCTGCAGGCTAGGACTGCATGGTGGCACGCCTCTGAAGGGGGTACAGGGCTGGCCAAAGTGTCGTCGTGCAGAGCTGTGGCGTCCAGCTTGGCAGGTTTCACAGGGAGGTGCTCACTGCCATCGAAGGCCCCGCTGCCAGAGTCTGGGGCAGACGGGCAGATGGCTCGCGGTGGGTCTGGTGGGCAACAGGGGCTCCTTCCAGGGAATCTGAGGGACAATCCAGAGAGGGGCATGTCACTCAGGGACACTCTCGATAAATTCCAAATAAACCAGATCCTGAGAAAATAAGAGCCCAGGATGCATACGGGTTCAGAATACAAACTTGGAAGTGTTTGCTTCAAACCAAGTTATTTTCCATCAAACGTGTACTTTTGACAAAAGGATTCCCATCAAATGTGTACTTTTGACAAAAGCTCCTGGTGTGGTACTGTAGGATCAGCACTGGACTGTGAACCACAAAGTCAGCAGTTCAAACCCACCAGCTGTTCCTCACAAACCCTATACAGGGTTGCTACGAGATAGACCCAACTTGACGGCAATTAGTAACAACAACTATTCAACTAATCAGGTACCAAAATGGACCAGATTATGGACCATGTGGCTTCACTGATTTACTGACACCTGCCTTGAAGCAGCTCTGAACCAATAAATAAACCAGACCACTGGTCAAACCTTTAGCTAAAATGAGGACACAGCTCTGTCTGCGACCTTCCCGTGTTGCCATAATGGTGCACATGGACATCCTGGCCGGAGCTCTTAAGACCATCAGTAATGCCGAGTAGAGACACACATGTCAGTTTCTTAGCAGGCCGTGTTGCAAAGTCAGCATCTAGTTTCTAAGTGGGATGAAGCCTGGTTATGTTAAATTTGACATCACTGATGACCACAGAGTTGTAACTCTCACAAGTGGAACGCTCCGCATCAGACTGGGTGTGCAGCTCAAAGTCCCCAAGAAGTGGCAGAACAATCTGCTCCCATGCCATTTGTTTGGTTTCACTGTACTGACGACCTCAGCTGGCACAAGGAAGACAAAAACGCACAGGAGGGACAATCCTGGGATTCTTTTTCTAAAGATGTAACTCATACCTATAAATAAAATGAGGATGCATATGCTGAAGTAAGGACACCCAGGAGACATTGTGAATGTGAGCATGCTTGTGAGTAAGCATATCTGTGAAACACACACTGATGCATTTCTGTTGTTGCTGTTAGGTGCCATCTAGTCAATTTCAACTCACAGCAACTTCATATGACACAGTGGAACTGCACCACAGGGCTTTCTCGGCTGCCATCTTTACAGAAGTAGATCAGCAAGATTTTCTCCCATGGGATCACAAGGTGGGTTCGAACTACCCATCTTATGGTCAGCAGCTGAGCACTTAATCATTTCATCACCAGCACTCCTCATATGCAATCACTTAGTGAGGCAACATTTTTATTTGTATATCAAATTACACAAGGTAGGATGTTTCCTATTAC